AAAGTGCAACAGCTTGTTGCTAGGCTTGGGTAAAAAATATCGGTATTTTCTTAAATATTTATTTATATATTGTCGACATTTTTAAATCGCGATATATTGATATTCAATATTTATCTTAGGGCATCAAATTCGTATTAATTTCGATATATTTTAAAATGTTGTATTAATCGACAAAACATTAGGCAACAAAAGAATCTACAAAAACATTCATGTGCTGTTGTCGTTTTTTGTTTCGTCATCCAACCGTACAGTAATACCATTTGGAGCGTTATCCTACTACATTATTGCAAAACATGACGATATATCAATATTTATCATGCGACTATACCAATACTGTTTAAAAATATCGATATATTTTTCACTTGCTCATCCCTACTCGTCGCTATTGCTACACATGTGTAGATAACGGAATATCTTCTCATGTCATTGCTAGCAGCTAGCCGGATATGCGAGGGGCCCCGCGCACCGATCGCATCTGCTTCACCACTTAAAAATCTACGTGACCACGATACTATTTCGCCATGTAAAAAAGGTAGAGTTGGTCCCAGAATGCTTCCCTGAGGAACTCCTAAAAGTTACAGGGACCTTTTTATACCTCTTAGCTAATAATGCTATCAGTTTGTACACATTCTGTCTGTAAAATTTTTTGTTGAAGTTTCAACTGGAGGTCTCTGATATATCCCGGTTCATTAAAGAAAAGGAATCTAACATGGCGGTGCTTATCGTGTTCTCTCGCTCGCACACTAGTGCCATGTATTCACTCGCGCGTGCCGTAGTAAAAAAATAGTCTTTATTTGCTTCCACGCTGTCTTGACGCACTCAGTGATCCTTTTTATGAATGTAGTTTGTTATAGTTTTCTGCTATTTTTCCGTTGTTACCTGTATGTTATTGTTGTTGAGTTTTGTTTTATTGTAAAGTTTTGTCATTTGAACGTGTGGACTGTGACACAGTAATAGAGGAGTATAAGAGGAGACACCTTAAAAGCGAGATAGTAAACGAGGAGACACCTCAAAAGCGACGGAAGAATATACATTGATACACGTCAAATAGTGTAGAATGTCATTAAGTATTTTGAAGAAAAAAAATTTGGAGCGTTATCATCCATTCGAGCATAGTAATGCTCGAGCTTCCATGGCCACGGGCTTACCAGTTAGCACAATAGTGAAGATAAAAAAGAAGGTATGTTTCTATGAAGCTATAATGCAAATTTTTTAGGTACTTATAATGTCTCCTTTTTACGTTCTTTTTGTGATATTTTATAACGTTTAAGTTTGATAAAGATAGTTTTTAAAGAAATGTTACGTGTTAAAACAATATGTCGTATAATTTAATTACGAGAGGAACTTGAAAATGTGATTTTTTGTTTGTTGAGATATCTTAACTACTAGATAACTAACTGGTATCAAATGAAAGGTCTACAACCATTTTATTTGTATAAATTATATAAATTGGTCCACGTATTTACCAGATAATCGTTAATTAGTATAATGAAAATGTAAACAAACTTGAATATTTGATGTTTTGGAACGGAGTTCTTTATCGCACATGGCACCATTTCTTATTTATTAATAAATACCTTTACATTGCAGGTAAGCTCGCCGAGCAAACATCGACAAAAATACGTACCTACGCCCAAGAAAGGAAAATGGGGACAGAATAACACGTGTTCCTGTTACAATTCAATTTCGATATCTGCGCAATCGGAAATACAGTTAAGTCTATTTATGATGTGCACAAACAAGTGCCTACACTCAACAAAATATTGGCAACCGCCAAACAAGATTTGGATTTCAAAGGATCGAAAAGAGTATTAGGCCGTATCTTAAAAAATAAGCTGGGATACCGGTTTAAAAAGTGTCGTCGAAACAGAATCGTGTTAATAGAAAGAGAACTTAAAGGCATACGCTATTTAAGACGAATAAGACAAAATGACGCACTGGGGGCTAATAAGAAAACTGTAATATATATGGACGAGTCCTGGATTCATGACCACTATACTGTAAGTGCTGGCAGAGCTTTAAAGATAAAGGAATTTAAAAAAATTATAGCCCAGGCCAGCGCTGGGTAATGTGCACACCGGTGGCGAAAATGGATTGACCTGCTAATTAAAGCAAAATCAAAGTAAGGCGATTATAATGATGAGATGGACGGAAACAATTTCCTCAAATATTTAAAGGAAAGACTTATTCCTAATCTGCCGACAGAGAGTATCTTAGTTATGGCTAACGCGTCATACCACAGTATTCAAGTTAAAAAGCGTCAACATCAGCCACCCGAAAGGTGGAAATAAAAAATATATAGAGGAGAATAATATCTCATTTGAAGAAGTGGACAAAAGCAGAGTTGTTAACACAAATGAAGAAAAAACTACCTGAGAAACGACATGTGGTTGACTAATTATTACAATCTCACGGATGGGAAGTCTTAAGATTGCCACTCTACGATTGTGATTTAAATCCTATAGAGAACGTTTGGAATCTTATAAAACAAAGGGTTGCCGACAAAAACGTGGAACAGCACGAAAATAAAATTGAGCAATTGTCCAAAGAAGCAATACCATCCATTACTCCGAATGACTGAAAAAAACAAATTAAGAGCCCTCTTACATTTCGGCGTTACGCAAATTTAGGTATTTACGCCCCGAGCGGGCGATGAGCTATGCGAGCGACACTTTATTTTATACCTTTTCAATCGCTCGCACTACTGTACTGTGATTATAGCGACTAAACGATCTTGATCTTTCATTATACAAGTTTTCTTAGAATGGAGTTCAGTGGATGGAAAATTTTTGGTCTGTCATTTTTATGTTATCTAATTAATTTATTACAATCTATTTGATATATTTTTCATTATTTATGAACCGTATTGTTGAAATAAGTACACATAAATATTTTAATTGATTCACAGTAATAAAGATATTGACAGTTAATTCGCAACCATCCGCTTAATTAAATACAATGATGTGTCTTACTTAGATTGTCTTTTCTGGAATAGTGGTGTTGGGAGTAGTGGTGCTGGGATTAGTGGTGACGGGATTAGTGCACGTAATTGAGGGAGGGCGGGAGGTGCTCTTCAATCTAGGTAAGACACATCATTTTATTTAATTAAGTGGATGGTTGCGAATTAACTGTCAATACTTTATTATAATGGATGTCCGCAAAGTAACGCCTGATTCTATCAATTATGTTTCACAGTGATTGATTGTTAACCGATGTTGATCAATAATGGATTATATCTACTAACGGTAGCATAGTGGTATAAATAAATTAATAGTATGGTTGCAACCTATTTAAATTAATAAAATAACCAACTGTCAATTACCATATTTTTATTATAAAAATATTTGCCGCAACGGCAATAATTTCAGGCAGTACACACTTTTTATAAAACGCTTGTAACTTGGCTAAAATATTCAAAATTTGTCATCTTTGTAGATTTTTAGTACTTTTACTGTATAATCTGGGCTAATTCATATGGCAAGCATTCAGACATTTTTATTCTCCGTTATTTTTTCTCCAGCGATAGGATACTTCTTTTTTTACATTATGTGATACATTGAAACTTGTATTTATTTTTCCCTATTCGAACTGGTAAGAAAGCTCAGCTACAATCGAAATAACTATAATGAGTTAACTATCTGTTATAATAATAATGTGCGAACTTTTATACTAATTGAAATATACTGTACTAAAGTAAATACTTCCAACGATTAAAATTTGCGGGCGTAGTTGAAGATGCGAAATAGCAGCGCCACAGCTAAGGTTGCCAGGTCTTAAGACCGAAAAGCCGGACAGACCAACGAGCTTAGCCGGGCATTTTGGTTAAAAGGCCAGACATCCTTAATTTTTTAATCTTAGTATAACATGACAATTATTTTAAAGTTAAACAATGTTTTTTATTATTTACCATAAAATGTTCTCAAATTCTAATGAAACGGACATACTGGACAAGAAATGTGATCAAAGAAAAAGAAATAGAGGATTTTATTATTAATTTAGGACCTGAAAGCAGTGACGCTGAAACAGATACCGAGAAGTCATCAAATGATAATAAAACGATGACTCTTGGGATGAAGAAATATTGAGAGACCCTTACACTTTGATGACCGCCTCATAGAAAGTATTAATAAATGAGTTAAAAATAATATTCCTTCTTTATTTTAACGAAAGTCGGCAACATCATAATAAGAATACTCCTCCTTGTCAGGTATACAGAAACGCACGTAGAGTTCTTTCATCCCGACAAAAAAGTAGGTACTGTTTCCGATGAAAACAACAATACCGTTCTAGATAATGATAATAGATGGGGCCACGTGTTTTCAAATTTTTAACCCGGTTTTGTTTTTATTATTTATAATTTGAGAAAAAAAAACTGACATGAAATTTTATATGCTAATTGTCTGTCAACGCAAGTACAAGCTGCCATTTAAGATTCCTTTCTTTAATGCATCGGCTTATACCAAGGTACCCAAGTTTTTTTTAACTAAAATTAGGACAGAGACTGAAATCCAAAAATCTATCTATTGTTTAATAAAAACAAGTAATAATTAAAAGTTAATTCGGCAAAGCATAGGTATTATTAATAGCATGATTCTAGCCATCACCTGTTTAGCATCATTCGTCGTTCGGTAATACAAAGTACACGAACGTTATAAAGTTATAACCCGATCAATATGGTGGGTTATACTGTTAGTGTTGTTAGCCTCTAGATTTTCAATATCAACCATCTCAGGCTGTTTTGAGCTAGTTGACTGTGACGTATTTTCTACTACACTCTTACCGTCCAAACGAGTAATGGTAGAGAATTCTACATTTTAAAGTTGACTGTAATTATACTGCCCAAAAGAGGGTTTGGAGTTTATCCTAACTTCCTGTCCTGTCATCCCTTTTGAACTTCTATCCTCGTTCTCTTCACGATATTTTATTTTAGCTGTCACGTGTTATTAGATAGATGTACATTTTAAAATTGAGTTTATTTTATTATTTGGAAATTGTTTCAGGTATATCCCTCAAGGAATTATATTCAAAATCACGAGAACAATTTTTGGTGAGCTCCGACTTGGCTTTGCGAGCTCAACTTACAGAATTCTTAGACCACAAACTAGTGAAAATAAAAAGAACTTTTGATGGAAGTGAAAACTTAGTGATACCAATTGAAAGTGTTTTGCTACAACAATTTTTAGAACAGCAAAATAATTAGTTAAGTGTTATTAAATAATTTTTGAAATAGGTACTTTTGTTTGTAAGGATTGATACAAAAAGGTTAAATAAAATATGTAAAACATAAAGGTTTAGTTTTTATTTTACAATCCCAGAAATAAAGTCTTAATAGGATTATATAATATATATATCAACAGGCCAAGTTGTAAATTACTTAAACTTAATGACTTACATAATACAATAAAATTATTAACTAAAATTCTCTTCAACATATCTGGCACATTCACCATGATGCATCAACTAAACATTTCATAAATTATCATTGATATACTAAAGTGCATAAATTGCTCTTTTAAGATTTAAAAATATTGTAGAAAAATATTCTCTTACTCATCAGTGTGTAAAGAATTTGATCTAAATCACCATGATGCTTGTCGGAATTTATTACGAAAATACTGATGAGCATAAGTTATCATTAGTGAGATTACAATATAATTTAAAAATCAGGATTTCCTCAGTGTAGAAATCCGTTGTAAACTGTAAAACGTAGTATGGGTGGTTATCTAATGTAGCTGCCTGAATACTTTATCTATTTTTAAATTTAAATTGGCGTCTTTTGAACAGTATCGAGTTTCAAATTACTTGACGCCACACATATAAAATTATACCTAAAGAGTTGCATTTGTAAAGTTGAGATTACACTTGTAAATTTGATAGTAGTCTATTAATTCGTATGGTAGATAGTAAATATTTAGGTTACGTTGAAAACAACGCCTACAAAATGTATAAGTAAATGCGGAAACCTTTGCAAGTGTAATCAAAAGGCAAAATTGATATTGATGGTGCCAAAGAGGAATAAAAAAAAAGGAATTAATAAAACAAATTGAACCATGACAATATTATATACAAATTACGTAACCGAAAGCTTGTAGTTTATTCCTACTTAATTAAGCTTATAATTTCACATTTGTATTTTCAGTTTGTACATAAATATGAAAATCGACATAGCCATAGAATTTTTATTTCAATATGTCTCAACCAGTCTATTTAGTTGGTCATATTAATATATTAATATACAGGCGGAATACCCACAACGGAATAAAATTGTAATTTATTAGAAGACATCTTAACCATTTTCCATTTTTATACGGTAACTTAAAGCTAATTTATATAATTAAACATTTTTAAGACTTGTTGAGAGCTATTTTAATCCTAAAATCATGCACTTTCATTTCAATTATTGGACTAAAGTATGTCAGTAGAATAAAAAATGAATATTACATAAACAATTTAATTGAAACATTAACTTGTCGGACAACAAACTACACTTTCCACACAATAGACATAAACATAAATCAATAGCCATAAACATATCCTTCTGCTTGCTGTCCATCGGACTTGAATCTCTCGTAGGGGTGATAGTAACAATCTCACAAATGACAACTAGTCTATGGGGATTACTTCAATGTATCGTGATTTATTGTCCGATGCATCGGAGCGCTGTACACTTACAAACTAGTAAGATAACTCCGCTCAAGGCAACACTCAATTCTCGTCATCATCCTCATGTTTCCGTTTTTTACCCCGAGTGCTCTCTTGAGGGTTACCACTTGCATTCTCAACATCTAAAACAAAACAACTCATTAAAATTTAATCAAAAGTAACAACTAATTATCCCCAATATAAATTGTATTCTAATTTTCAGTTTTATTCCTAAACAGTACAAGTTACTTTTTGTTTTAGCTTCCTTTTTATTCTAGATCAACAAAGAAAGAACGACAGAACACAACTTATATTTTAAGTGACACCAAACCATGCTCAAATTGCAAATGCTCTCAGTTGTATAGCTATTTTTCTTTGTTGGTCTGAGATTATATAAAGAAAGAGGCGTTTTAAGCTATTTATTTTTATAGGATAGGGTGACAAATGAGCACACAGACCACCTGATGATAAGTGGTTGCTGTGGCCCATAGACATCTACATCTATCTTCGATTACGAATCAAAATGCAGATGCGTTGTCACCCGTGAGGACTAAGATGGAATGCCTCGTTTCTAGTAAAAAGGGTCTCCAGTTCTCTACACTCATCTTACGAAACACATTAACCTACTATTTTATGCTGGTATTCTGTGAGAGTGTGAGTCCTTCCCCGGTACAACTATACTATAAAATTTTATGATAATACACCCATATCATTACAGTTCAAACTATTCCACTGCTGGACATAGGCCTACCACAAGGAACACCATAAAGCATGAAGAATCTGGGCCAGTCTCTTACCAGGTCGTCACTCCATCTAGTGGGGGAGCGCCCTACTCTTTGATTACAAGTATGAGGCTGTCTACCACTTTAGAACCTTTTTTTCATCGGCTGTCAGTTTTTCAAGCTACAGTAGGCGCTCGATAATCCGGCACCCGATTTTTTCCCTTTATGCCGGATTGTCGGAACTGCCGGATTATCGAATTTGTATAGGAAGTAAAATAAATCCACAGTAAAATACTATTTTAATACGGTTAGGTGAATTTATTATAAAAATAAAATTACGTACTTAATGTGTTTATGTTAAGTACGAACTGCCGAGCGAGAGAAGAGAGAAACTACTCGAACAATTCAACCCAACTGCTCCGTAGACTGGGGTTCAGCTGTGTAAAATGCCGGATTATAGAAAGGGCTACCTAAGTCCCAAAGTGCCGGACTACTGAGCGTGCCGGATTGGCAAGCGCCGGATTATCGAGCGCCTGCTGTAATTGGCTGGCCCATTGCCACTTCAGCTTACAGATCCGTTGAGCTGTGTTGATTACTCTGGTTCTAATACAGATAGTCTTGTTACAAAATCTATTCGCTTAGAGAAACTTCGATCATACCGTCTCAAATACATATCCACTGGGCAACATGCACTGGTTGTTACACTTTTCTTTTTAATTTTTGGAGGTATATTTACCTCCAAAAATTGACAATGACATGACAATAAAAAACAAATGTTTGGTAATCTCCAGAACACTGCCTAGCCGAGTTGTATTGACCTGGTATTGGTATTGAGTTGGTTGAAGTTTGACTTACCCAGTTGGACACTTGTTCCTAGGTAAACATACTCGTCAACAACTTCGAGCTTATTGCTCGCAACAACTACAGGCGTAAGTGTGAAATAGACATTACACATGACCTGACTTGTCCATGTTCATTTTAAGACTTATCTGTTGGGATACACTATTGAGGTAATTGATCCTAGTGTTGAGGTCCTCCATCGATTCTGCCGTAACTAGATGTACAAAAAGTTGCATCTATGAACATTCACTTGGTGAGGAAAGTTAATGGGAGTCCCTTATGTGGCCACAAACATTACATACAAAGGCATTTATATTAGATTACACATGTTTGATGCAAGGTTACTTTAAAGTTAAGATTTTAAGAATTTACCCTGAGATTTGGGATTATGCTCGCCATTGGCGTCATTCTCTTCATCTCCTTCTTCATCATCCAGATCATATTCCTCATCTAAGTAGCCTTCTGCTTCGTAGAGTGGGCTTGCAGAGCTTTCCTCCTCTAAACATAAATTATAATAGTAAGTTGTATCACAAACTATTTTCAATCAAATTAATGGTACACAAATAATCGTGTTAAATTTTATTAAAATTATAATTGAATGTAACGATACATAGTTTAGCCGATATGATTACAGATACTTTAAAAAAAGATAACACATTTTTACCCCACTGCCAGAGGTTAATGTTTTTCAGGTATATAACATTATGTCTCTATTCATTAAAGAACTGGCAATAATTTTATAAAAAAAGCAAGGAAAAGTATTTAATAGAATGTTTGATAAGTACTTAAGTCTTAAATTGAAATCAATAATTAGTTGTCATAAAGCAAAGTAATAAATCTTATCTATATATACATAATATATTATACTATTATTAATATGTATATGTATGAAATAAATTAGGCGATGGGCAGCAGTATATTCCTAATAACAACATAAAAACTGCAGTTGCCAATCTGCTTGCCAAGGGTGGCAACTATGGCAAATATTCCCCTATGAGGCAATCTATGGGGGTTAAGCAGTGGATTTTAATAGGCCGTAACCAAGTAATAAATTATTACACAATGTTAATAATTATTGAACCCGCTATGAAGTGGCGGTGTAAGAATATCCACAACCTATATCATCCCCGGAGAGTGGTCCAAGAGGCGACAGAGGGAAGCAACTAAAACATAAAAAACAGCAGTTGCCAATTCGCTTTCCAGCTTGAAACTATGGCATATTACAAGTCAATCTATGGGGAAAGCAAAGTATATTCAAATTATTTGTGGATATGCTAATAATTTTGTGTGATGTCTGCAGATGAAAATAGATTAAGAGATTATCACCTGGATAATGTAAGAAAGTACCCTTCACGTTTGCGCAAGCTTTTTCAAATGTAGGAATTTCTCTCTAAAAAAAATACAATGCTCAACAAACAAGGCAAGTCACTTGCAAGTGCAGCTTCCTTCCCTTCCATCTTACTTGCAACGGAATGACAACCAGTGTCGTTGATTTGCGTGCTTTCTAACTAATATCGGTTGATATATCGGGGGATCCCAATTTATCATATTGTTACATTCCTGTTAAGTTACAGCCTGTATACATCCCACTGCTGAGCACAGGCCTCCTCTCATTTCTGAGAGGGTTTTAGGGCAAGGAAATCCGCAACGCAGCCCTAATGCGTGTTGGCGAACTTCAAATGACTCCGAAATAGTTTTTGTTTTCTTATTTCTCAGACATGCAGGTTTCCTCACAATGTTTTTCTTGACTGCCTAACACATGGTGAATTAGTACAAAACTGCAATTAACAATTTCATTGGTGCTGACAGGGATTGACTTGGGTTGCTAGGCATACTGTGAAATTTACAGGGAGTGCTAACCATCTGAGCTACTATGGCTTCTGTTACATTGATCTTATTTATTATTACAAGAATGTAATTAAAATTAATTAAAGATCAATTAACTGTATTTGAAATAAAGAAATTTTACCAAGATTTTCATTGTACACTTCGCTGAGTGAGAGATCTTCATCCTCTTCTTCTTCAACCTCATCTTCAGATTCTGTAACAAATTAAGTACCCTTTAATTAAAATATCCCTAAAATTTGTTGAAATAATGTTTTTATTAAATTAATAAACACATAAAAAAGTAATTGAGTAGTATTTAAGACATTATTTTAATATAAATAAAAACTTTCATAAATTAATACATGTTTATGGTAATTTCCAAATTTGATAATAAAAAAGCAAAAAACTATTTTTCTTTAATTCAACAGAAAAGAGAAGAAATCAGTATAATTAACACAGGGACATCACAAACCAACTACACAAGCCAATGCAGTATGTAATACTTATTGTATACTCAATATGAGAAAAATTTAAAAAGATAAACTCATAATAAGTGAACCTTTTGTATGTAGATTAAGATTTCGAAATAATATTTATTGTATATCTCTTTACTTTTTATTATTAATATCAACATTCTAATGCAAATTTGTCTATAAAACATTAGAATATATTATAAACTTTAAGTTTAATGCAAGACATATATATAAAGTTTGGCATATGATTACAATTTAAGTATGAGGTAGCCCAATGTTAGTTTGGTATAATAAGGGCCGTCCATTAACACGAGGCACGAAAGGGGGAGGGGGTGTTTGACAAAAATCACGAAATATCACAAGGGGGCGGGGGGGTGAAGCAAGATTATCACGTGCATTTACGTTTTTACATGATTTTGAGTTAAGTTTGGGAGGGGGGGGAGGAGGGTTAGTCTTAAACCTCACCATGTATCACCAAGAGGGAGAATGCGTGTGTGTGTTAAAAATGCTAGAAAAAACATCGTGATTAATGGACGACCCCATAGACAAAAATTAAAAGACAATATGCTTGCATTTCATAGAAAAGAATAATATATGAATAAACCGCTATAAATGAGAAAAGAAGTTATAGTATATATAGTATAGTAGTTGACACTTTATGGCTCTATATTTTTATTTAGCAGTACTTAGACAGATTATTTTATTATAGATGTGTACGATTGTGTATTGACCTAGGAACACACCAATAAGCTTTTAGTTTCATTATAAAATAAAAGTTAAATCTAACTTTTATAAAAATGGAGGCAAGCATCACCAATTTAATAATATGATGCTTACTTTTAATTAGATAACCCATGTGAAATAGGAGACCATAGACAGTATATAAGGACATTAGTAGAGAAGGTTTTGTGTCTTGCGGCCTTTGTGATAAACTATCATCATCAATTACCAGCGGACCAAAATCTATATCCACATCTGTAATCCAGGACAAAGTTATTGTAAACATACTTTTATGAAACATTTAACCTAGTGATCATCCAATCAAAAAATTTGCTTTACATAAAACATTACATACTAACCATCCTCTTCACTGTCATTATTTCCATTCTCCTCAGGCCCATCACTGTAAGCATCACTATCTTCAGCCTCTCTATCTTCTTTGTCAAATCTAAAAAAGAATATAGTAACATGAAAGAAATAACCTTCATATGTAAAATAATTATAGTGCACAGAAATTTAATTGGCTTTCATAGAAAAATATTTATAAATTCTTTACCCATCTAAATATTTCAGTGATGGATGTAGAGCAAACACCTTAGTCCTGTAATCCTCAATATTAGTGACTTCATTGTTGAACAGATCAAGGTTTTTTAAGTTCTCAAATTCTTCTAATGGTTTCAATGTTTCTAGGTCTTTGATTTTGTTACCAGATAAATTGAGATGAGTCAACTTTTTGCAGCCATGGAGAAAATTAAGACCATTAGATATTCTGTTATCCGAGAGCTCTAACTTCCATAGCTTGGGAAGGGTTGGGAAACCTTTCAGCGATGTCAGACCTGCATTGTTGAGACTTAGGATTTCAAGGTTTGTATATTCATCTGTTAGTCCAACAATGTTTGTACTCCTGCAATTGTCCAAATTAAGTTCCTTGACCTGTAAATATTATATAAATTAGTATTAAGTTTTATGTTTTTCCCCTATTAGACATGTATCCCCTAGTATGGACATGTGTAGGTTTGGTTTTTCGTAGGTAAAATATTTCTTATTATATCGTAGTTTTACGGAGGTCTTGTATTGGGCAACCCTACACTGTTATTAGGTTACGTCAAGTAAATAACGTATATTTAAAACTACAATAACTTAGTGACCAGGAATATTATCAAATGATTTTTATCTTTTCAGAATTTGTAATAACTTAAGGAACGTGGGTAATTTATATAAATAAGTACTTTAACTGGCTTGATGATATGTTATAAGTCAAACAAACCAAAACGTCAAAATGGTGTGATGTGAGTTGTCAAAGGTCCATATTGGCGTAGGTTGTACAATTTTACAAATAAGTGATTAAATTGGCAAATTTAATACTAAAATAAGAAACGGATGTGATTTTGTAGCCATTAGTATCAAAAAATATTAATGCCGTGTTTTGATTGTTGATAAAATATGATAAGTTTCTATTAAACAATGGCGGATGACACGAATCATCGCGACGCAATAAAAATGGCCGCTATATTGGTAAGGCGTGCGTCTACATTCTGCAAGTAAATTTGCTTACAACATAAATTAAAACGTTCAATATGCTATATACTCAAGCAGTAAAATGTCAACATATAACTGATTACTATCAGTTTATCTTTAAGGGGCTTCTTACGGGAATATTTGAGCTAGGTGAAAGGGCGCGAAATTATATAGAGTACATAAATAATAAATTTATTATGTATGGATAAAATTATCCGTTATATGCAATAATCTACACTCTTCAACTAACTACTTTGGATCAAAGTGCAGTTAAAAATTAAAATACATTACATAGAGCGGCAGTAATACGATGATAACGCTACCTGTATAAAACTGAAAATTAATCAAGCATAGAGTGATTGATTAACAATTACGTACAATTATACAAGAAATGAAATGCGAGGATGTTAAAATGAAAGCTATTAGTGCTTACAAATTATTTGTTTGCTTACATCTCCACTTTATATGTCTACAACGTTTCAATACTTAACCTCAAACTGTACATTATTTTAAGTGATAATTACTACTTCGATTGTTCCAATTTTTTTCTCAATTATCCCTCAATAACCAATTATTGTTATGGAAAAGAAAAGTAATAATTATAATGTTTGAGATATTAGAACGCGGACATGAATAAGACGTAACAATCGGTTATACCTAGCTATCGTAATAAACAATAACGCCTCATATGAAGACTACATTCGTATAGGTACAATTGTGTAATATAAGTTCATCATCAATTATTTATTCACAATATTCACGTTGTAATAATTTTACACATAGATGCCTAACGAAATACGTATCGACAAAACATTCCAATAACGAAGCATAGATCTATTTACCTGTGAAGGGTTTCTTCCCCTCAGTTCCAAAACAACCCTTTTTTCCATCTTCTTGAATTTGTATTTTTACACTATTAGCACTTTAGATCACCTTATATATCACCCAAAGAATAAAATCCTTAAGCTTGCTTGGGTTTCAAAACAGAAGGAAACTATAGATACACATTACACACGAGTGACGTTGTACAAGAGGCGCCGTCTGGTGGCCATTTAACGAGACCGGATACGACGCTGTTGAGCAATTTATTTTATAGGAAGTTATTAAAAAACATAAAAATAATTTAATTTTTGTTTTAATTTAACAATTCTTGTTAAAAAATAGTTTTGACATATTTGAAACCTAATGTTATGGGTTATTTGTACCATATTTTACGTAGGGAAGCTTGTATTGTTGGTATCAGTAATTATTATTGTTACGTTGTTACCTTGTTTAACAAAACGCGGGATTTTAGAAAAATTAAAAAAGGTTCGTGTAAATGATTCAACAATACAATACAATCATGATATGACTTATCTAAAATCAAGACGTTTTTATTTAAATAAAATGTTTTTTTGATTAAATTTTATTTAAATATTTCAGTAAAAAGAAGTAGCTACATATTGTAAAATGTGTTAATAAGACCATAATATTGAAAAACTTTACCTTTTTATTAGTTTTAATACTATCAATATGTAGACACATATATATTTATACTACCTATTCAATATCATTTTAAAATATTTATAAAAAATAATTTTATAAATTTAGATACAACAAATATTTTAAAAAAGATACCTACTGAAGAATTAATTAACTGAAGATAAAATAATTTATACCTTATATATAATAATTTATATATTTGTAGGTATCGTTTACATTTGCAAGAACTTGTGCCAAGTTATTGTGCAAGTACTTGCAGAACCGTTTACACTACCAGCAATATTACTATCACAATTTGCTTCTGCAAGCGGCCTGCAAAATAATTTGTGGAAGTACTTGGAAAAGAGTTTACATTAGTAAGGGTAGTAAGTAAGGTAATATTTTTTGCATGCAAGTCAGAGCATCTAAATTCAGAGAGTTGAAATCAATCATCACGCCAAGCTGTAGAAAAATACGTGCTGTTGCTATAGTAGTCTTATTTAGTAGTATTAAAAAGAAACGTTTATACGTGGTAGAGCCATGGTGCAGTTATATTAGTAGTATAGTTATAGCACAAATGGGTCGGCTCGACCGGGGAAGGACCACGCTCTCACAGAATACCAGCGTAAAATAGTAGCATTTCATATGATGAGTGTAGAGAACCGGAGACCCTTTTTACTGGAAACGAGGCATTCTATCTTGGCCCTCACGGGTGACAACGCATCTAAATTTTTATTCGTAATCGAGGATAGATGTAGATGTCTATGGGCCGCAGGAACCACTTACCATCAGGTGAACTGAGTGCTCGTTTGTCACCCTATCATATAAAAAAAAAACCGAAAAATAAAAAGTGGGTTAAGAATTGGATATTAAGAAGAGATAATGTTGGTATCCACAATCATCTATTAAACTGCATATCTATTAAAAGAACTCCTGCGAAGAACGCACCTGAGTTCTTTTAATAGATATGCAGTTTAAAAATTTCATCAGAATGAAATTTTTAAACTGCATAAACATTTCGTATTCCATAATTCTCTGTGTTGTTCATACTTCTCTATCAGCCGCATGGTATCTATCATACAAACTTTTTTACCTGAAATCTTGCTCAGCAACTTTAAACTTTTATTTGCAAGCAAAATAAACCACAAGTTACTGCCAGAAGTTTCAAAATAGTGTTTACACTTGCGACTTGCGGCAAGTACTGCAAGCTACAAAACTTGCGGAAGTGAGGTTGCTTGTTTACACGGTAGGAATACCTTGCAGAAGTCAACTTCTGCAAGTTCTGTTGCTAATCTAAACCTCGCTTATGAGGCGATATATAAAACAGGATATGGATAGCAGCATCTTCGTTAAATAAAAAAAAACAGTGGTTATATTTCACATGAAGATGCTGCTATCTGCTATATTATCCCTCCTACTTATAACGTAATCAATCTATGACGGTGGCCTATGTTTTGCACTAGAATTTTTATAGGCTGTATTGAATTGAAGATTAAAAATAATTGACGATGACAAAAAAGGCAAAAATATAATTTGTATTAAGGTTCGTATTTTTCAAAAAAAGTATAAAAAACTACAAGTTACTATAGTAGTTCGACTGGGTAGGTACCATCGTCTAACTATTTCTGCTCTTAAATAGCAGTGCGTGCATTGCTCTGTTTACAGCTGCTAATTGTATAGTGAGTCAGTATAAAGGTTGTCACATTAATTCGAGTCCTTGTTGCGCCCTCCTTTCTGCCAAGGAGGGTCGCGTTCGTATACGGCTGAGAGATCTCTAGTCAGATCGTTAAGCCAATTCCTAAAAGGCGGTGTTTAGTGGGTAAAAGTCTCCACATAACCACGCAGCCGGCTGCGTGGTATGCTATGAGCATTCACCGCCTCCCTCCCCCGCTTTCCGGAGGGTTGCCCATATTTGCTTCGGGCTCAAAAAAAAATTCGAGTCCTTGAGGGTACACTAGTCACTCATTATTCCATACAAACGCAGTCTGGCGATTACTCCACTGTTTGATGGTGTACGTTCAAAATAAAAAATGATTTCTATTTGTCTCATCATTATCTAGCCCTGTATGGAAACAAAAAAGTAAAAAAAGAATATATTTAAAAGTGCTAATTTTAACACATGTTTGGGTGGAAATAAATACCATAAGAAGAACGAAAATTGCAAAACAGTTACCATACAGGAATAGATTAAGCCTTCAAAAGTGCAAATAATTATTTTGAACAGATACATTTAATAGATTTTTCATGATATACAGATTCCTAAAGGTCTGTTTATGAAATTTCGCGCCTTCGTTTTTATTGTAAATCATCATGCATTTCGCTTTCCCACGTAATGTCGGCTGAAATAACATGCATTTTAACCCCGCCCACCACTTAGCTCGCGCCATCGACTAGGGCAACCTTAAAGGTGACATCGCATCTGTAGCTTTTTCGTTTGACGTTGGCTACAGGTGTCACTGGACTGAAGTTACCATTTGTCATCAGGTGGACTGGTAGATCGTTCGTCACTTCAATTTTATATGAAAAAGAATTAAACGCGTCAAGATTCCTTAAGTTAGTTTAATTCTTTGCGGTATATAAATATATATATATATATATATATATATATATATATATATGGTGGATATGGTATTAGATATTGTAGTAAGTTGACAAACCGAGTTTAGTTTTTATCTGAATAAAATTTGTGCACAGTTATAAATAGGATAAGGTTTATATAAACCTGAAGGCGTTAAAAATTATTTTCTTGAAAAGGTTTGAAAGTTCTAAGAACATTTTTTTTTGTCATGATGCCGAAACTAAGATGGGAAAATACATTCTACTTGTAAAAATATGTATATTTAACGTGCTTTATTATTTTTAGCAAAAAAATAAATATGTGCATATTATGACTAAAAATTAAATAATGTGTTTATTATGTGCATATAGTATATTATAAGCAATATAATAATAATAATAATAATAAACTTTTTCTGCCATCAGGCGGCGCGAATTTGCAATGAGGTGTAATATTTGACAGGTTTCATTGAAGGACGGACGAAGTTAATTTGTTATTACCACAGAAATCGTAATTTAAGACAATATTATTACGATTTCAGTGGTTATTAATAAAGTAGAAAGATTAACGTTTCTTACCGAAATAGTAGTTGTATTTTATTTATTTATTTAACTTAGTGCCAGTTCGCATTCTCTGCCAGTCAGCCCATCCATGGCGTGGTAAAAATTTTGTGGGAGGCGACTTAAATAACTAAATGTCATAAACATAAATAAATAAAACATACATATAATTACAAAATCAAGCCACATCATAATAATCCATATTTATACCAATTATCCTTAACACGAGAATAAAATAAGATATGATTTAAATTTATTAATGAATAATTTGTCATGTAACAATAATTTAAATTTGACATTTAATTGTAATAATTATACTAATAGCATTAATTTAATAGACATTAATAATTTAATTAAGAAATTTTTGACTACAGATAGGTATTACCTATCCAAATATAATTTAAGACAGATAGCAAATGTGCTATCATATTATTTATATATTAACTCAGCCAAGGACTTGGCTACCCAGACATCTGCTCCTATTGAGCAGCATAATGATGTGACATGCAATTTGGAATCCGTTCCAAGTAATTTAAATTAGAAAATGAGACAATAGAGGTAATCTCTAGCAGTTATAATAATTTAAATAATTTAGAATGTAGCTTACAAATCCTTAATAGTTGCAATTGTATAACTCCACAAAATGATAATAAAAATTGTTTACACCTGGTGCATCAGAATATACAAGGCATGATTGGCAAAGAGCTAGAAATTGAATTGTTCTTAAATAGCAACAATATTCATATTTTATGTATTACTGAACATTGGTTAAAAGCTCATAATTTAATGTTTAACTTCAGTAATCACCAGGTGGTCAGTTCTTTCAATAGAGAAACGGTTTTAAGAGGTGGCTCCTTAATTTTAGTTAGTAAATTATTATCATGTAAATAACGTAAAGATATTGTGAGCCTCTCTGTTGAGCGAACTGTAGAAATAGCATGTGTTGAGTTTGAGCACCTCATTGTTGTGAGCGTTTACAGACCCCCATGTTCTTTATATGATACTTTTGAAAAAATTTTGGAGGAAGTTTTTGCTAAGCTTAATAAACAGAATAAATCTGTTTTAATATGTGGAGACTTTAATATCAATCTCCTAGAAGCTTCCTCCACCAATATTAAATTAAGATCATTTCTTAAATCTAATGGTCTTTTTAATTTATTTTTGGAGCCAACGCGTATTGCTGAATCTAGTGCAACATGTATAGATAACATTTTTACAAATGTTAAGCCGTTCAATAAATGTATTATTCAAAAATTGAGCTCTGATCACTGTGGACAATTAGTTTCGTTACCTTATGTTCACAAAAAGCAAG